ATAAGGAAACCACGACCTTGCTTTATTCTTTGGGATATTCAGGAGATAAACAAGCCCACATACCAGCTAATAACCAGAGTTATCCCACTCAAATCAAGGAGGAACCGCCAAATCTCTTCAAACCGCCAATTAGAGCCACATTAGAGCTAGTTAAGGAAACAAGGGATAATATGACATTATATTCGCCCCACATTATATTCAACCACCAAGAAACCTCTCAAGACATTCAAGACCATCAAATCAGTTCCTGAACCGTCCTAAACCGAGTCAAATTTAAGGAGAATCAACCATGAAGCCACAATCCATAATCAGCGATCATTATCTCACTTCTAAGGGAAAGTCATACCAAATCCATCATTCATCAGTCAACCTCGACCATACATCATCTCTGGAGGATTTTATACATTCATTTTGTGCCAAAGAATCATCACAACTCCCCCCCCCCCTCCCCCCCCCCCCCCCCCCCCCCCCCCCCCCCCCCCACACTCAGCGCCAAAGTCAAGACTAAACACATTGAAGCCTAACGGCTATAAGATATCATTCAGCACATTTTCTGCTTTGTTTTAATTATCATTATCGTTGCTTTTCATATTTTTGAGCATTATAAAAGCTCATTTTTATTGTACTTTTTATTCAGAATATTCAAGTTATAAATCAAAGTTATTTGTTTCAAAGAAAAGTTATCTTTGCATCCAAATCTGTTCCTGCTTATTACTAGTTCTTCAAGAGGGATTCTTAGAACTCGTAAGGAGTGTAGAAACTAGTGTTCTTGCAAGGATTAGCCCTTGAACATTAGAATCTAAAACCCTTGTGTTTGGGGATCAAATACAACCGGCCATCCAACCACTTAGCCATTCAACCATCATCAGCTCAAATCAAGGATCTCAAGAAGTGTAAAGATTGAAGCATTTTTCAATCCTACATCAATTCTTCTCCTTCTACTTCTCCTACGTTCCTTTTTCTTCTTCATCACTTTTTCTCCTTTTTTTTTCTCCTTCTTCTTCTCTGTTGTTATTCTTTTTCATCCACTTTTCTTCTCATTCATCCCTTCTTCTTATTCTCCTCGTTCTTCTCTTTCTTCTTCTCCTTCTTGTTTGTTCTTCTTCTCCTTCTCCTTCTTTCTCAAACAAAAGAATGATAAATGAAAAGCTAAAAAGATTAAACATAACAAGCATATACACAGTAAACAAACTGAAAAAATAATAATTTCGACTAAAAAATATTGATGTTTGGAAAGACATTTCTTTTACAAAATCTAAATAAAGAATAATTTTAGCTAAAAAACATTAGAGAAAATGAGATAACGTAAGTTACTGTTTTCATTTTCCTCATAATTTGTTAAAATAATATTATAATAAATGGTTTTTATTTTGTTAATTGTGAGTTATGAATTTGTTTTTACTAATTTTCTGACTTTTTATTATTATTAATATGGCGTACATCCAAAATAAAAATTTATCAATATTATTTGGAATATTTTTGAAAATATGCTAAAATCAATATTTTTGAGAATATGCTTTAAATTTATGCAGTTTCTGTTTCTTAATTATTATTTTTAAAAATTTTATTTGGGAAGCTTGCTACATAATTTTTGTGATCGAGTATTTATAAAGTATCACAATATTTAGTGCAATCGATTAATTAGATATTTGATAGAACTAAATATATTTTCAATTAGATTTTATGGTTACTAGTGTTTTGCCCACGCTACGCGTGGATTGTATAGTTATCTTGTAGTTTTATAAAAGGTTGTCAATTAATTTTGTGTTTAATATTGTGACAAATTATAGAGTAGTATATTTGCATGTGATTCTTAGATATAATCGAGCGAAGTAAGTATCAGAAGGATGTATATATATATATGTGAAAAGATGATCGAAATTTTTGTATAATAATTCGAAAGTAGATTAATATACCTTTTGGCTTAGTTAAACTTTTTTTTAAGAGTTAATGCATGTTTTTACAAATATGAAGGGTAAAGTTTGACATTTTTGTATAATAATTTGATTTGTAATTTTGTTATATTTTTTTGTTTATGTAAATAGTATCCACATGAACTATATATTATATTAGAAATATATTGTCTAAATTTGGACATCTTATGTTATAATGCTATTTCTTTAGTGAACACCATGAGTATTTTTTTATACTTTCAAAAATATTTTGCATAAGCTTCCCTTTTGCATGATACTTTTAAAAAGAAAAACTCAATCCTTACTCCATTTTTGTTTCATATTGTGTATTAGGATTTTGTTTTTAATTTTCATATAGTATGCATTTCTCTATCTATCAATTTTTTAAGATTCAGTATGTACATAGATGTTTTATAATTAGTTCATATATTCAACGAAGAAAACAAATGGCAATTAATAATAAACTTTTTTATTATATGAGTTCTTTATTGATTGATATAATATTTGTTTGATAGTTTTTAGCTAGCTCAATCATTTGCCAATATTGGTGAAGAGTGTGGAATTTATCGTTATATGTTATTTGAAAAAAAAATCTTTTCAGTTTTATGTTTCATGAAATTTTGCAAATAAAAATTAAGAAACAATGAGTAACTGTCTTTAATCACCGGTTCTTTAGTTAGGTTTTTTCTTCAGTTTTTCTACAATATTGGATTACAATGAACAATATGGAACTCTATATCAGCTTTAGAAACTTGAAATCCGTTATAAGTCAAAAAGTTACAATTGTATAAATTAATTTTCTCTAGACGAAAGAAAACTGAGTCGCTCCTTAAGTTTTACTTTTGGCGAGAAAGACGTTCTCTAGTTCCAACAATACTATAATTCAGACTCATTCTACTTGATTCACATTATAAATATAAATGCAAAACAGTTGTGAGATTATATTTTTATGTTGCCTACAACAATCTCAAGCATGAGACACATTAGACTTCATTTGTGATAGAGTTGTGTATTATTTATACCATATGTGGCTCATCGCTATGTCTTTTTTTTTTTTTTTACATCCTCATTGCTATGTCTTTTGGATATCCAAATATTTATGCTCCACTTATTTAAGTTTTATTGTTTATCACCAGTTTGGTTATCATTAATTAATAAGTAAAATTTGAGTTTAGTGACGGCTGATTCCGTTTCTGGTGAGTCAAAGGCGAGATGATTAGAAACCGAGAAGACGATGACTCCATAAAATAAGCTTTTGTTTAAGCTTTATAATTGAGTTTTAGTGTGATTCGTTTTCAGTTTTTTTTTGCTTTGTTTTTTTATTAAGAATTTAAGAATTATAAAAGGTTTTTTTAGGTAAAATTTGACGAAATTTTGATTAATAAATTATTTAATAAAATGACTTTAAATTATTGCTTGGAGAAGATGACATAGCAATTTGAAATTTACTATTAGTTAATTATTTTTTCTGATGTGGTATATTGTCTTATTCTTATTGGTTAGTTTTTTTTTATAATTTAACAATGTGGCAATTTGTTATATTCTTATTGGTTGATTATTTTTGCTTATGTGGCATCCCTTAGAAAGCAGGAAATCTATCCTTTTTATATAAATGAGATTGTCATTTACTGTTAATTAATCATGGTGGTTTTAAATTTGAATTAATTTAATCGGAACTTGAATTGATATTAGACTGCACTAAATATATAAAAAATAATATATAATTATTCATAAAAATAATATCTTAATTTTTTGCCTAAAAACATATATGTTTGGTCTATTATTGCATAATAATAAAAAAATATAATTTTTGTAATTTTTTTTACAATATGTTTTATACTGTGTAAATGTATATAATTTAATTAGATATATTTATAGTAATTATAATTGTTATTTGCTTCTAAACATATGTGTTTGGCCTATTATGAAAAATATTTTTTGTTATATTTTTTTTTTGAAAAATGTTTTATATTGTATCAATGTTTATAATTTAATCTTTTACACATATAAAGTAATTATAATTGTATTTTTGTTTTATAAACTTGGATGTAATTAATGCTAAGATTAATTAGAATTTTAAAAATAATTGTTTATGGAAATATTCAAATTATCTAAATGTGTTTGATAATTGAAGTTAAACTAATCCAAATAATCTTTGAAAATCAATGTGGTTGGGTATATAAGAATTAAATAAAGAAAAATGTATAGATTAATGTAGATTGGAGCTCTTTTGGTAAATAGATACGCCCTATGTAAAATAAACATGTACTCATATCATTCTTGAATCTTGACAGTATATAAAAATCTCTTTGATTATCATCTCTGTTTTCAGAATTCTTTAAAAGTAAATATCGTTATTGCCTGACCAATTTTTATTTAGCATCATGGTAATAGATCCATCTTCATCGTTCAATAAAATACACATTTGCTCTCTCTTTAATGATTTGATCTAAAAAACACTTTTCCACGAAATGTAACAAAGATTTACATCACTTGTGAACAAAAAGAATACGAGCAATGAGAAAAAAAATTAGATTTGTGGATTCAATAATTGGATTATGCCAAATAACTTAACGGCCGTAACAATCATACAGGGCCACAAGAGAACAAGTTGGGAATTTTGAGAAAAAGGTATAAACAAAACAAAGGCCATGTGCTTTCCGACCAACACTATTTGATTTATCTTCAGACAGGACATACCACCAGAATCCAACTCAAATATGCAACAAAACAGTTTCAGATAGCAATCAATGAAGAGTTATTACACTGTTCCTCGATTTAGATAAATCAATCAAGTCCTTGAGAGAAAGGAGCAGGTTCTTGAACTTTATTAAGAGGACAAGAAAAAAACTCGAAGAATCATCAAACTCTGATATGATTAGCTCACCAAGAAGATTACAAACAGCTCTACAAAGATATTATTAATTTTGTCTACAAGACTAATCAGCAATTAACTCTCCCCTACTTCAATCAAACCAAGCCTTATGAACAATAAAATTATCAAACAACATATAGAGAAAAAAAAACGAAAAGGCAAGAATCGTCGATGTTTCTTACATACAGGTTAATAAACGTATCTGCAGACTCTTATGGCCTTGCAAAGACGCCCCAAATCTTACTCCGAGCGAGATTATCAGCCAATTTCTTAGCTCCTTCAACATCAATCTCCACAAGCTTTTGTAAATGCAAGCAAGCACCAGCAGCAACGACTTGTTTCCTGCATTTCTTAGAAGTTACAAGAAGTTCCAAAGCAGAGACTGTGTATCTCTGATCAAGTTTCTTGATCTTCGGGTCCAAGAGCTGAACAAGACAAAGTACACCCTTCTCACTCTTCTTGAAAATCTTTCTGTTGCTAGTGCAAACCAAAAGCGTCGATAAAGCTTTAGAAGCTGCTTCTTTCTCTTCAATGGCTTTACCATCTAACATATCAATCAATGGACCAATGCATCCGCTTTCTCCTATCTCTTTCCTGCTTTTCGAGCTGAAACCGAGCGAAGAAACAGCTTCTGCAGCTGCGATTCTCACACCAAGAACCCCACAGCTCAACACTTGAACCAAACGAGGGATGAATCCTTCGGAGATTACAACCTCTCTTACAATAGGGCACGAAGAAAGATTCTTCAGAAGAACAACTCCTACCTCGAGACTCTTAGCATTGGAAACAGAATCCCAGAAACTCTTTAAGCACTTGATTCCTCCTTCTCTAACAATCAATATCATCATATCCTCATCTCCAGATGTTAAATTTGCCAAACATCCTATTGCATTCTCTTGTGCAAGAGGCGTACCTGAAGAACCGAGAGAGATAAGAACGAAAACCGCGTTCTCCTCTACGAAATTTTCTTTCGTCTCTGCAAACGAAGCCAAGTTCCTCAATACGCCGGCGGCGAAAGCTTGAGAGCCAGGTGTTCCGGCTTGGCAGATTTCAAGCAGAGAAGAGATTCCTCCTCTGCAACCGATTGCTCTCGCGTTCTCCTTGGAGAAACTTAAAGCTTGCAGAGCAATACAAGCTTTCTCCTTAGCGAATCCACTTCCTGATTCAAGTACGCGAAGGAGATGGTTCAGTAGAGACAATCCTTCAGCTATCAACACATGTTTACTACTCTCCACCGTCGAGATTCGAGAAATTACGGCTACTGTCTTCTCCTTCATACCCAAAGAACACGAATCGAGCAGCCGAACCAAAACGGGAACAACTCCTTGAGCTACTGAGATCATCACGTTCTTATCGTCTTCCTGTAGAAGCTCAAGCAACGAATCAATCGCGAAATTCTTCGATTCCGGCCCACCGATCTGCAATCGGATAACCAGATTCCTCGCTTCTAATCGAACAGCTTCCTTCTTAGACGAAATCGAAAATCTCGAGACGATTCCGTTATCCTGAAGAAGACCACTCTTAATCAGAACCTCAGCATCTTTCACATGGCGATCAAGCCTCGCCATGACTGAATCGACCTCACTCTGCGTCTTGAGCTTTCCCTCAGATAAACTCGCTCCCTCACACCTCGCCGCGACGGAGACAGCGTCGTGTAGCGTCTCCCGAACCGAGATAAGAAGATCCATAGCTAGCTGGTTTGAAGAAGAGCCGGCGAAATCGGAGAAATCGGCGAGCTGAGTCTTGAGATCGGCGAGTTTGGCGCGAATCGAAGACCATTTGCACTTGAAGCTGAGAAGCTTGGGGATACGGTCGAGGAGAGAGGAGATGAGCTCCGTCAAACTCCGGTCGCCGTCGTTATCAGGCTCCGGCATCGGAAAAGCGATGAGTGAGTTAGGGTTTGAGAGGAGAGAGAAAGAGGAGAGACAGAGAGAGGTGTAAATTAATGGGAAGTGATCCTACTTGCTTTGTGCCAGCTGGGAAAGAGCGAAATACAGGGAGGGAAAGTGGGTTCCACGCGCTTTGGGAAATCGCGTGGAATGGTTTCTATTTGTTAACAATTTCATCGTCAAACCCAATGATCAGAATCTCATGCATGTTACGTGGACAAACGCAATATCAATATTTTATTCCCTTCTCGAAAAAGTTTCTACTTTTTATTTGGACTTTTTCTGGAAGCTAATATTTGGAATAGAGATGGTTTAGAATAAAATACAGGAGATGAATAACATGTATTATTGTAAAATGCTTACAAAATTAGAAGTGTATATATATATATATATATTAGTTGTATTTCAAAGAAAAGCCAAAATAAAATCTTCCTTCAATTTTTTTCGAATGACACCTTGGCAAATGGCAAAGCATTTTCTTGGATATTTTTATGTCATATATAAAGGATATCATGATTCATGAGCAACCTACTAATTTGGCTTGACCCCGAAAAAAAAAAAAAAAAAGAATTGGCGTGAAAAAGACTTGGTAATAAATGTCATTAAGAAAATGTCTTAATAAAGCAAAGGGTTGGTATGAGTTGACCAATGACTAAACTCGACTAAGATTTTAATTTTATTTGCATGCAATTTAATTAACGTATTTTATTATAGGGTCCCATTAGTATAAAGATTTCCATGGTCCCCTAACCAAAAAAAAAAAAAAAAAGTCATTCTTAAACATTCCACAACTTAAGTAGAAATTTCAAGTACACTACTAAATATAAAAAAAAATCGAAGAACGACTATTTCTTAAAATCTATCTTTTGAAGAACTAGGCTTCAGAACCAATGATCATGCCTGATTTTGGAGAGAGATCCAACCAGGAAATGTTTATAATATCTAAATATTTTTTGAGAAATATCAAAATCGATGATATACATAATACATGAAACTCAAGCATTTGTTGTTGGCTTATGATTTAGAAAATATTGGCACACTAATTACTCACGACCTTCTGCTAACTTTTGAAGTCTAGAATATAGTTATGAAGCAATAGGTTAGAGTTGAAACTCCTCACAGTGATAACCTATACGGTTTGAGAACAATGTCAAACTTCAATGGTGAATACGTACCAAACGTTAAACGGAATTATCATTGCTGAGGTACAACGGAATTACAATTACAACATTCAGGACCGGTTTTAGAGCAAGTGAAATGAGGTTCTTATCTTGGTTTTTATTTTTTGTTGGCTTATAAATGTATATACAATAATTTGTTTGGTTGTGCTGGTCCATATAAAAATTTAGTGATTCATTACTAATATTTTATGATTTTTTTATATGAGACCTATTTTTGTTTATTAAAATAAATAAAAAATAATTGGTTCATATTTCTTAGTTTGACTCAAACTCCCAAAATTTGAGGGCCGATCCTGACAACGTCCAAAATCATCTAGTGGGACATATGAATTTAAAGCATTGCTAAACATTTGAAATGAGAATTTTCTTACTAACACCGACTCAAACTTGTTAGCAGAAACCAACAAGTGTTTTTTTTTTTAACAAGTTTTGATCTATATCTCCTAATTTGATTGTTAGTAAAAAATGATTCAATCCTTAATACCTTATACGTAGTACTTCAAATAACATTGATAGATATGTTTCTGAGGTACAACGAGACTGCAATCTCGGCAAAGTCCAAAATCGTCTGGTGGCATACATGAACTTTAAATATGGTGATGTTAAAAAAATTAATGGAGAACTTAAACATCAAAGTAAACTTGTTGATGGAAAGTGGAAACCAACAAATTTTGACCTATTACTTGTAATGTGGTTGCTAACAATAATGATTTAATCCTAATTCCGTCTTCAAATAACATTGGTATTATGGAGATCAGGAGTCCACATGTTCTCACTGTATGAAAAGAGTGTGTGTTGGAAAATGCGACAGATTGAACTCCCTAATTTTTTTGGGTCACATTTGGAATTTAACTTTAAGGACAAGACTCTTTTTCAAAAGGTGGACAATGATATGCAAGGACTTACTTACGCTGTTCTTAATTACGGGATGCAAATGCACTTTAACTTTAGATTTATAAATTTTGTTTTGGCCTCATGTAATATGTTTATTTGATAATGCTGGACTCCATTAAATACTGAGATAAGGGGTTTGCCTTTGATATGCCCAATGAACCATGTCTTTATCAGTTTTTATTTTTTTTTGAAAAACGTATTTTTTAGTTTTAATAATTATTTTTTGTAGACTATTTTCTTCCTTTACATTTTTAGCTTATAATTTGTCTTGAAATGCAATGTTTCTTTTTATTATGATCTGCATGTACGTAATCTTATAATTTGGTATTTTATAATTTCTGAAAAGTAACGGAAAACAAATATTGTTCATAAAAAAATATGATTAAGAATACCTTTTTGTTTCTAATTTTCTATTATTTTTTGTTTTTTTAATTCAATTTTATCGTATATTTTTAAATATTTATGTATCTCATTTCTAGTTGAATTAGATGTTCTTTTTATAATTTTACCACATATTTAACTTTTTTGGTAAATTTATTTTCCTAAGTATTTTTGTTGAACGGGTTTTCTATAGTTTTTTTTTAGCAAAAAAGTTTTTTGTAATATTATATACATAATTTTGTTGTACATTTACCTAATAGTATAAATTAATATCTGATCTCATCTTACAAATGCTTTTTAAGTTTTCTTAATTCTTACATATAAAAAAATAGAGTATAAAATTCGCCAAAGATTATCTTTTTAATTTGTGGTTGTGGAATGTTTTAAATTAATGACGTCATATAGATCTCTAGTTTTGTCTGAAAGCTAGGAAACAAAAATCTATTTAGATCAGGGCCGGCTCATTGGATCATCTGTGTTATATTTCTATTAGACTTAGATTTTTTTTGACATGGAAGACTAGACATTTTATAATTAGATCAAACATGTTAGTCGTAGAGACTAACCAATCGGAAACTGTAGTGTCAACATAAGAAAAGCACATATCACGGGATCAGACCCCTTTTGCAAGAGTATCCGCTCGGACATTACATAAATGAGTGATAAAAGACAGCTGAAAAGTATCAAACTCAGAACGTATATGAATAAATTCTTCTACTTTTGTTGCATAGTTCGGCCACTCTTCTTCTTCTTCAATCAACCTTATTATCTGAAGACAATCAGACTGTATATGGATGAAATTAATACTTTTTTGTCGCACGGTCCTCATTGCCCAAATTACCGCTTTGAATTCAGCATGCGGAGGGGAACGAGGTCTCGTTCCTGTGATAGAACCTAACACAAGGCCAGCACCCTGTTGAGCTATAACAAAACCACCACCAAACATAGATTCCTCTCTTATTCATGAAGCATCAACCTGATATATTGGTACCTTACATTCAATACTTATGCTCGGTGTTGCAGGATTCTGGAGGATAGCATCCTCGTCCGCCGCAGATTCCAAATTGGCTAATGTCCAATTAGTGGATTCCTGCATAGCGATCTCAATTGTATCCGCAAAGCGGATATCTTTATCATTAAAGACATTTTCATTTCGTGATTTCCACAAATACCACATAATCCATGGAAATACATGTATCTGATTATCACTTACCACATAGTTTCTTGCTCTTGATAGCAGAAAATCAATATTATTAAACAGAACGTCACACGGGAAGACGCCCGGAATAATCAGAATCGGGGAATGCGTCCAACACTGCATCGAGAGAGCGCATTGAAAGAATAGGTGGAGTATAGATTCATCTTCGGCCCCACATCTCGGGCATTTTCGGTCTGTTCCACAGTGACGGTCTACCAGTCTGCCACAGGTTGCAATACTCCCCGTGAGCGCCTGTCGGAGAAGGCGTTTTATTTTTCTAGATGTTTGTAGGCTCCAGATTTGTTTCTTCAATCCAAGCGTGCTCCGTTCTAAGACCTCTTCTCCATGTAACTCTTCTTGCAGTACGCATGCTCTTTCATATCTTGTTTTGACATCGTAGTTTCCTGAAATTGTATACACCCAACAATATCCATCAAAAACAAACTTACAGGTAGGTTTCAGGAACAAACTTACAGGTAGATTAGAGAACATCCTCTTCCGCAACTTGTTCTCTAATCTTATCGTCCTGCCATTTCTTAGTATCAAAATCAATTACATGATTTACATATAGATTTGGATCTTGTTCATTGCTAATGCTTTTCGCCGGTCTTGCAGGGATTAACGGGATCCACGGATCCGAACAAACTTTGATATTGAATCCCAATTTAATATTTTTGCGCAAGCCTAATTGCAGAAGGCCCTTAGCCGTTAGAATCCTCCTCCATCCATAGGACGGGGGTTTTGATTTCTCCACCTCAAGCGAGGATGGATATCGGAAGTAATGTCCTTTTAAAACTCTTGCAAGTAAGGAGGATGGGTATCTAAGGAGTTTTCATAAATGCTTTGCTAGCAGAGCTATGTCAAAAAAATTTAGGTCTTTGAAGCCCAGTCCTCCTTTGCTCTGTGGAAGACAAATCTTGTCCCAAACTAGCCAGTGGAGACCTCGATTATTAGCCTTGGAACTCCACTAAAATCGAACTATAGCATTCCTCATTTTAGCCACCACATTTTTTGGGAGAAGAAAACAGAACATCACATATGTAGGAATATCATGCACCACTTATTTGAGGAGCACCTCTTTTCCCCTTTTTGATAAGAGTCTTCCAGACTAAGAATTTACCCTCTTGTTTAGCCTTTCCTGAATGTAGGAGAACACCTGTTTTTTTGATCCAGAAATATTCTCCGTTATTCCCAAATACATTCCCCCCCCCCCCCCCCCCCCCCCCCCCCCCCCCCCCCCCCCCCCCCTTCCTGATGGATGCCAATCACATTCTTCAAGGCTGCTCTGCATTCTGGTTTACTTTACTCCTAAACACAATCGATGATTTTGC